TAAAGAGCCTCCTAATGGCTGCTCTATCACTGATCCCCAGACTAGATTTTACAGACCAGTAGAATAAAAAGAGAGTGAAGGGGTCTATATAGGACTGTCAACTAAACTGTTATTATCAATCTCCTTTTATGGAAAAGGGCATTTTGATCCTCAAAAGTAGGAAAAACATACTTAGAATAAAGGACAATTCTTTAAGCTGAATAATTTATGAAAAAAAATCCCTATTTTAGGTAAGATATAGAAATAACCCAAATGCCCAAATATAGATGACTGGATCAAGAAGATGTGGTATACATACACAATGGAATACTATTCAGCAATCAAAAAAGATAAACTCATTCCATTCACAGCAACATGGACAGCTAGATGGGATCATGCTCAGTGAAATAAGCCACAAAGAAAAAGAAAAATATCGAATGTTTTCACTTATAGGAGGAACATAGGGGAACTAAATAAGGGATCAGGGGAAAAAAATAACAATAATAATAACAATAATAATAAAAACTAGGGCCTCCCCGGTGGCACAACGGTTGAGAGCTGGGTTGCGAAGCTGCTCACAGCCTCTGCAGCTCTGGTTCGATCCCCAGTCGCCTGCGAGGGTCCCACATGGCGCGCAGACCCCTCCTGCCGCCAGCTGCTCCCCTCAGCAGTGTACTCCGACGGTCTGCCTGTTCTGCTTTCCCCTCTGGCTCTGGTGAATTCTCTCAACCTCCCGCGCTTCTGACTGTACCCAGTGCTTGTATAAATAAATAAATAAATCTTAAAAAAAATAATAAAAACCAGCAGGCAACCATAAATAAGAGACATTCTATGGGGGTGGGGAGGAATCAGACTATGGTAATGGTTCACGGGTGACTTGATGGTGGGAATTTTACAGGGAATACACAATGATGTAAAAGATAAATAAAAAATAAAGTAGTTAAAACTTAAAAATAATTTTCTGTTGTATTCAAATACTTTCTAATTGTTCTAAACCAATGATAACTTCATAATTGGGAACCATTATCCTAGCACTTTCAAGGTAATATCATAGAAAGCCAACTTTAATTTGGGATCTTTATAGTTTTAAGGTTTAGAATAAATGTGCATTGCACTGTGTTCAATGTGTAGTGTAGAGATTACTTTGTAAGTACAATTTTATGTCTCTATCCTCTACCTATCTACCTACCTGCCTAGCTATAGGAAGAATGACTTGAGATAAGGGAAGTAGAGTAACTAATCTCTGATCATACAGTTTAGTTCTTATATGCTGATGTGAGGGTTTTTTTTTCCTGCTTTTTTATTCTAAGTACATTATGTCTCTTCCTAACTATTGTAAATTCCTTGAGTGTAAGCATAATGCTTTTCTTGTCCTTTATCTCTCATGAAGAGCACACAGTGGCCTGGATAAATTCATACTGGGTCACAGCACAATAGATCTTTAGATTACAGTTGCATCATTCCTCATCAATGGAAATGTAAAATGTAAGGTGTTCAGTGTTCTTTTTTTTTTTGGTAAATAGTAAACCTTCAGCTAGTGGCATTATTCACTTTTATAACATCATTTTTTATGGCTATTACAAGTGTTAACTTCAGCTTAGCTCTTTACCAAGTGATCTGAAAGGTAGCTTAGTAAATTATAAATTCATTGATGAGATGTCTCTTCAGTGTTTCCGCACCAGATAGTTATCTTTCCCTTGTGGAGAGAAGTTGCTCTTAGATCTATGTTTGGGTAAGACCCAGGGAACATACTTCTTTTTCTTTTTTTTTTTTAAGATTTATTTATTTATTTATTTATTTATACAAGCACTGGGCACAGTCAGAAACACAGGAGGGTGAGAGAATTCACCAGAGCCAGAGTGGGGAACAGAACAGGCAGACTGACGAAATATACTGCTGAGGAGAGCAGCAGGCACGGCAGGAGAGGTCTGCGCGCCATGTGGGACCCTCGCCGGAGCTCCAGAGGCTGCGAGGGAGCATACTTCTTAACCCGTTTTTCTTTCCTCCCCTCAATTGATTGGGATTGATAAAAAAAAAAAATGGAATTGTTTTAATATTATCTGTTTTGCAGCTAGAATTCCTAAGTTTATGGTTTTGATTTACCTAAAACTACCTAAATTGAGATCTGTAGTTTAATTATTTAAAGTTAGTGTTGCTATTAGAGAATGTAGTCCTGAATGCCATTTGGAAATCCAGTGTTAATATTTGCCATATAATACTTGTGATTTTAGAATGAGCAGTCAGAAGATTCGTATGTGAATCCTGATAGTGTCACACACTGCACTGTTCAGACACCAGCAGACAGACTGTTAAAGTTCTCTGAGCCTGTGTATCCTCATTCTTAGATGGATATAACATGTACTCCATAAACATTTGTGAATCTAATGAGTTAATATAAAGGAAAATATTGTGAACCATGAAGTAGCACACAAGTGTACACTATTATTACATGCTTTTAGAATACATACATAATCCATTTCTCAGATCCATTTACAGTTTTTTTCTCTCGTGAGTACCTTTACATTCCTCAAAGCTATAATGAAGAGTCTCATTTATTGGGCCAACTTCTTTCTATTTGTAGCCACAGTCATACTATTAAAGGGTTTGGTTAGAACTTGCCATTAGAAATATAATGTGAACAAGGTCCTAACGTGTTAGAGCAGAGCCAACTATTAATATGTATAAATTGTAAAACTGTATGGTGTAATGAGGGGCCTGTCCGTGATGTTATTAGGTCCTAATATATTTTTTACCTGCTCACATTTTGATTTGCAGGAGGAGTTTGAACTTGTTTTGTAAAATAAGTAGATAACTGTTTTACTTGTTTTTAGTTTGAAAGGCTTGATCATGATTCTTAGATTAAAGAATTTTACAGCTTTTATATTTTGGAAGATGCTGCAATCTCTACTTAAAATAACTTGGGGCAAGGACATAGGACTCTTGGGTTCCTGTGTGTGAGTCTAGTAACCCTTATCTCCCTGAATTTTCTTTTTTTCTCCAAAGATTTTATTTATTTATGCATACAAGAGCTGGGGTGTAGGCTAGAGGTGCGGGGTGGGTGAGAGGATTCACCAGAAACATATTGGGGAGCAAAACAGGCAGGTCTACTGAAATACACCACTGAGGGGAGCAGCGGGCAAGACAGAAGAGGTCTGCTATGCCATGTGGGTTAGCAACCTGGCCGGGGATCAAGCTTGTGCTGCAGAGGCTGGTGATAGCTTCCTAGCTCTGAGACTTAACCCCTTGCTCCGCCAGGGAGGTCACCCTTAATTTTCTTATTTTATATCTCTGTCCACCTATCTAGGTAGATAGGTAGGTAGGCAGGCAGGCAGGCAAACAGACAGACAGACAGACAGACAGAATTTTTTTTTGTTAAGTTTACTAGCTTACAGTACAGGTATATGGTTCAGAAATATAGGATCCCACCTCTTCTGGTGTATATTACTATACCACACCCACCAGCAAATGAAATCAGCATTGATTTGATTACTCCTGATTCTTTTCACTGCTCCTGATTCCCAGGATAGCCAATGATAAGTCCAAGAGGATTATTTTTTTTTGTTGATTTATCATTGGTTTATAAAATGATATATATGTATGTATGTATTTCAGAAATACACACACCCTATTGTACTACCCTTATGCCACTGACTCCTGCCTGGCCTTTTGGGTGCATGGATTACTTATAGAGAAAGAAGTGCTTTCTATATTGAAACGCGTGAAATGAAACATGTATTAGGTTAAAAAATAGTGAATTTTCTCTTTTCCTAGGATCTTAAGGTCACTAGGTAATGCTGAGAAACAGTGACATGGCCAGAGAAGGAAGAATGTATTAATATTAACACAACCATAATTATTTCCCACCTTGCCCTCCACACCCCAAAAGAAAGCTCTTTCTTAAATTTCTTGCATGCATCCAAATGACACATGCTTTACATGGTCTGTTTGGATCCTAACCCTAGCTCCCCCACTTTCTTGTGACCTTAGATAAATCAGTTACCTGTCAAGTGTCTCAGTCTCCTCACCCATGAAATGGGCAATTTACTAGCAATCTTAGGTTGTTGCAGGGATTCAGTCAGCTAATGATGAAGTACAAACAGAACTGGCACATAGTATATGCTATTTAGTTATCAGGTAGTGTTATTATCTTTCTAAAGGAATGTACTGATATTCTTGGAATCTTTGAATATGTTCCATTTCTGATGTAAAAGGTTGAATTTTTCCGTAGTAATTTTAAATTTCATTTAAAACCCAAAAATGCCTTTTGAAACATTCTACCTATCTTGTAAAATACATTATCTCCTCTGAATTGATCCACATCTGCTTTTTGCATAAAAGAAATTATGCAATGGGGATGGCATGAAAGCATATTTTTCATTCGGAACCAACAGTGACACTGTTTCATGGCAATTTGATTTGCAATATTGAACAAGTTAGTACAAACATGAACATTTTAAATGTCAGTCTTAATATTAAGTTAAATAAAAATGAATCTGACAAATTTTATTTCTGAGAGAATAACTGCATCACATTCTGTGCAGCCTACAAATAAAATGGGGGAAAAGATTTTATAAGTTTGTGTAATTTAAAGCCATAGATATTACTTTCTCATTGGTGATTTATAGGATACAGAGTGAATGATGAAAGTCTATGGTAATTAATCCTTTGTTCCATTTTGATGTCTTTTTTCTTAAAATATGATGTAAGTGCCAGGGTTCCTTTTTTATTAGCTGATTTATCTTATTCTGGTTTAATAATAAAGCCATGCTTTAGCTACGGAGGTGCACAAAGTAGTTTATCGGCTTTACCCCACATGACCTCAGACAGTCAGGACGGAGTTCTTTGTCTGGTATGGTTTTTCTGCCTTTGTCTATCATATCGCAGGCCTTCTCTTCCTCAGCAGCATTTCTGATTACTGCCTCTGATCCGTTGAGTAGCTGGGTAATCACACTTGTTTAGAACTGTGATTTTTTAAAAAAAAAAATGATCTAAGTAAAATCTTCAATTTCTTTATGTTCCAGTGTCTTACTGCTCAAGACGGGTCCACAGTCCGGCAGTATTGGCTTCACCTTATTAGAAATGCATAACCTTGAGCTCCGCTCCAGACTTATTGAAGCAGAATCTGTGTTTTAACAAGATTCTCAGGTGATTCATGTGCACATTAAAATTTGAGAAGTTCCACTTTAGCACGTCAACTTTGTGACAGTTCATTTTTCTATTTAGAGATCCTTTTCAGCTGACGAATTTTGTCTGGCTATGTCTTAGGATATATAGCTTGCCAAAATATTTTACTTCTAGATACAAGGGACATTATTTAACATCTACAAGTGTATTCCTATTTGGTGATATATTGGTAATTGATCAGTGTTTGATTTTCTTTTCTCTCCCCTAGGATATTCCTGGTTGGTCTTGGAACAGATTATATCATGGAATCAATCTCTATGATGGGAAGCCCTAAGAGCCTGAGTGAAACTTTTTTGCCTAATGGCATAAATGGTATCAAAGATGCAAGGAAGGTCACTGTAGGTGTAATTGGAAGTGGGGATTTTGCTAAATCCCTCACCATTCGACTTATTAGATGTGGCTATCATGTGGTCATAGGAAGCAGAAATCCTAAGTTTGCCTCTGAATTTTTTCCTCATGTAGTAGATGTCACTCATCATGAAGATGCTCTAACAAAAACAAATATAATATTTGTTGCAATACATAGAGAACATTACACCTCCCTGTGGGATCTAAGACATCTGCTTGTGGGTAAAATTCTGATTGATGTGAGCAATAACATGAGAATAAACCAATACCCAGAATCTAATGCTGAATATTTGGCTTCATTATTCCCGGATTCCTTGATTGTCAAAGGATTTAATGTAGTCTCAGCTTGGGCGCTTCAGTTAGGACCTAAGGATGCCAGCCGACAGGTATGTATTTTGAAATTTTATTTACTTATCTGGTATTTTATATTTAAACAATTAAACAGGGCCTTCCCTGGTGGTGCAGCGGTTGAGCGCTGGGGTGCGAAGCTGCCTGCAGCCTCTGCAGCGCTGTCCCTGGCCCCGGGCGAGGTTCCCCCACATGGCGCGTAGACCTCTTCTGCTGCCCGCTGCTCCCCTCAGCAGTGTACTTCGTCGGTCTGCCTGTTCTGTTCCCCACTCTGGCTCTGGTGAATCCTGTCACCCTCCTGCGTATCTGGCCTGTACCCCGGTTCATGTATAAATTAATAAATAAATCTTTAAAAAAATAAAAAATAAAAAAATAAACAATTAAACAAATAACACATATTTCAAACCAAATTCTGACACTCTTTGGTGATTATCATTTGATATGTATGAGCCCCTGAAAATTCACTTATTGATCTGTAATGGCATATTTCGATTTCCAAAATAATGTGGGAAGCTGAGAAAATAACTTGGACTTTCTGTCATAACAGTTAATTCAAGAAAAGGCAAGGTTGGCTGATGAATAGTGATACTCACCAAGTTGAGCCTCTCCTTGCTTTCTCAAAAATAGAAACAATAGCACACATTTTTCTTCATTCCTTTCTTTCCAAACTCTTCCTTCCTTCCCTCCTTTTCTTCCTCCTTCTTCCATCTTTGCAGCTACTTGGTAACATAGTATCCTATTTCTGTGTGAAATGCTTTTTGGTATGATCCTCAAGAGCATGTAAGTGATTAAATGGAGCCTGTGATCATTGCCATTTTTATAACATCATTAGTAAGGGTAATTCTTTTTTTTCCCCCGCAGGTTTATATATGCAGCAACAATATTCAAGCTCGACAACAGGTTATTGAACTTGCCCGACAGCTAAATTTCATTCCCGTTGACTTGGGATCATTATCGGCAGCCAGAGAGATTGAAAATTTACCCCTGCGACTGTTCACTCTCTGGAGAGGGCCAGTGGTAGTAGCCATAAGCCTGGCCACCTTTTTCTTTCTTTACTCTTTCGTCAGAGATGTGATACATCCTTATGCTAGAAACCAGCAGAGTGACTTTTACAAGATTCCTATTGAGATTGTGAATAAAACCTTGCCCATAGTTGCCATTACTTTGCTATCCCTGGTATACCTCGCTGGTCTCCTGGCAGCTGCTTATCAGCTATATTATGGCACCAAGTATAGGAGATTCCCAACATGGTTGGAGACCTGGTTACAGTGTAGAAAACAGCTTGGATTACTAAGTTTTTTCTTTGCTTCGGTCCATGTTGCATACAGCCTCTGCTTGCCAATGCGGCGGTCAGAGAGATACCTGTTTCTCAACATGGCTTACCAACAGGTATGGAACATACTTGTTATTTACCTGGTGCTAGTAAAATAATTTATTAGTATAATTTGTAAAATGTAAGGTTCAAAGTAGTGTAAATTTTTACATATGGTAGAAATTTTGGCATATTTAGGGAGAGGAAAGAATTGTTATTTAAACAATGTTTCTACCTATGGGTAATTCAAAATTATTTAAGGTGAAAGCTTCTACCATCCCTTCTTTGCCAAGAGAAGAGAAGAGAAGTAAAGGGCTGGGGTTTTTTTCCTCTTAAAAGTTACAGTTGCATTGCACGGTAGGCAATTATTGCTTTCATCATTAAGCAATCAATTACTTTAATACTTTTAAATTGTTCATGTTCCCTGAAATGATAAGGCAACTCTCAGTAAACATATACAATTAAAATACAAAACAAAATAGGAAGTCAAGATTAGGAGACACTTAAAAGATGTTTGTTACCAAAGAACAGGAAAGAGACTAGTTCCTCAAGTGAAACTTTTCTAACCCTTAGCTCTTCAAGATCTGAGGGAGCTTCATGGAAGGAGCATGATGAAGTAGACTCTGATTTTCTTCAGTAATTCTCACTCAGCAAATGTGAGAGGTTTTGTTGAAGTCATTTGACATTGTATTTCATTGAAAGCTGAGACAAACAAATGTGTAAAGCTTTTGCATTTTGTGCGGAACCAAGGCATCATGGTAGCACCTACTACTTTTATTTCAACAGTAAAACCTAAAATATTTTGAGAAAAATTTACCAGGTTGATGTTCTTTATTTAAACCATTTTCTTTTCTACACATACCACTTCTCTTAATTGGATCCTTTGGCTCTCATATCTGCTTCATGTGATTTGATACCTCCTTTAAGCGGTTTACTTTGATCTCACCATCTCAATGAAGCCTATTTTGGACATACTTTTAAATTATGCTGCCTGCTTCTGACTCAACCCCTGTTACTTACCCCATCTACTTTGAATTTTTTCAACAGCATTTACCACCTTCTAACACACTCAATATTTTCCTTGCTTATTATATTTACTGTTGTCTGCCTTCTTGAGTAAAAAGTAAGTTCATGAGAGGAGGCTTATGAGGCATTTGTCTTGTTTACTGATATATGTTTAATGCCTAAAACAGTGCCTGGCACATAGTAGACATTCAAGCATACTTGTGGAATAAATGAATTAAATAGGAGGGTAGGTAGATCCAGGTTATAATCTCTGGATATGGGAGAGATTCTATATTCTATATCTTTTTTCTATATCTCTATACAGATATCAAACAAGATAGAACCTTTTTCCTCAGAGGAGCATTTTTGGCTTCTTTTTAGGATATTGGTATGATTGCTCCAGGAAACTGATGGCTAAGAAGTAGCTTTCCTTTTTTTTTTTTTTCTTAACTGGTGTTAAGTTAAAATCTGGTTTCCATGGTTAGTTATTTATTTAGAGATCAGAACAGGTGGATTTATTGAAATTCACTACGAAGAGAAGCTGCAGAAGAGACAGGAGAGGTCTGCTGCACATGGATACTTATTTAAATTAAAGCTTTAGCTCACAGCATCAAACCCTTGATTTGTATTCTAAATTATATTGTTTGCATGCAAATAGACAATTCTAAAAATACTACCTATGCAGAATATAACACAGTTAATCTAGTCTAACTTATCATATATACATTATCAACAAAAGGTAAAGACACTTAAAAAAAAACATTGTATAGGAATAGGCAATTGAACAGTTGGAAAAATAACATTAATGAAGCAGTTTTAAGTGCATAAATATTTGAGTTCCTTAGGGCTTATCCTCAGGGAAGTCCCAGCTTCCTAGGGAATAGAAAGAAGAAAGCCAATTAAACATAAATATTCTTTATGTGAGAGAGGAAGATACTGAAGTAGTTTAGAAATTCCTTATCTGGATTCTAAGTTGAACTAAAGCCCGAATGTACCCAAAATATTCAGCCAAGGTTAAATCAATTTTCAAAAGTACCTTTAAACTTAAGTCTAACAGCCAGTGTTTCTTTTGTGTTACCCTGGAACCAACCACTGGGTATTTCATGGCCTTGGGAGTCCCTGTAACCCTCATGGATGACGTATGTTTACTGAACTTTTCACACATATATGCAAAGGACAGAATTTTAGTCGTTTTGCTTACCTCTCCTTGCTCTTTCCTCCATACCTGCAACAATATCATCCAGTAATAGGTTCTCCATAACAGTTGGAAAACTTAATTAATATGATTTAATTATATCCAGATATGATGTATTCTTATGCCAAAAGTGAACTCTGTGCTGAATCAGTTATATTTCTGTTGAATAAAGGAAATTTACATTACTTTCTTCTTAGGTACATGCAAACATTGAAAACTCTTGGAATGAGGAAGAAGTTTGGAGAATTGAAATGTATATCTCCTTTGGCATAATGAGCCTTGGTTTACTTTCCCTTCTGGCAATCACTTCCATCCCTTCAGTGAGCAATGCTTTAAACTGGAGAGAATTCAGTTTTATTCAGGTATGTGGGGTTTTGTTTGGTGAGGGATTAGGTAGCAAAGTATTTAAGTGTTATGTTGAATTTTAAATATGCTCCTTATAAAAGGAAAGCCTTTGAGGGCTGCATTTATTCATCTAGCTTGGGGAACATGTATTGCTGGAAGCCAGTTTAGAACCATTCTGGTTTAGTTAAGTAGAGGATTCTACTGAAAGGCTGTGATAACAATGCCTGCTGAGTTATAAGGACTAAGGTTGTTTTTAAAAGAATAAAATGAAAGTAGGGGATAAATGAGTTTAGATCAAATTTAATACCAAAATCAACTTACTATTAGCCAGATGAATAAAGCAAAATCAACTTACTATTAGCCAGATGAATAAAGAATTCCTTTATATTTTGAGTTCAGAGATAGCTTCTTTTTTTTTTTAAAGATTTATTTATGCATACAAGAGTTGGGGTGTAGGCCAGAGGTATGGGCGGTGAGAGGATTCACCAGAGATAGAGTGATGAGCAGAACAGGCGGATCTACTGAAATACACTGCTGAGGAGAGCTGCGGCAAGACAGGAGAGGTCTGCTGTGCCATGTGGGTCACTTGGCCAAGGATGGAACTCGTGCTGTAGTGGCTGCTTATAGCTTTATAGTGCTGTGACTTAACCCCTTGCGCCACCAGGGAGGCCCCAGAGATACCTTCTTAATTTGAATTCAAGTGGGAAAATCAGCCTATATGTGTGTGTGCATGCATGCGCACACGCGCGTGCACACACACAGGTAACTAGAGTAATGAATTATGACAAGCAACCAGCCTTATGAATCTTGTTGTATATGGATCAGTTATATATAGATGTATATCTGTAAAGGGGTTTTAAAACACAATTCATTGTGTTCTTTAATAAGTTAAACATACAAGTTCTCCAGTAAAAGATATATAATAAATTTGCATATGTTAAAACTGTATAACTCAAACTTAGATCCTATCGATAGTGTCACAAAATCTATGTGGGTTGTATCCAAGTAATTTATAACATTATATATGAATGAGCATTTTTGGTGGTACACTGAATTTTGTGGGTTTTTTTTTTTTAACTATATGTCTGAGCTTTCTTACTAAAACATCAAAAAAAGTCTCATTCAAGTTAATTCATTTTTCCTTTTTGAAGGAAAGATAATGTGGATACTTTCCCAACTGCCAGTTAATCACACCTGAAAAGAAATATAAGGCCCTCTGACAAAAGGTGCTGGATGGTTGAAAATTATCATTATATATTTAGATGAGCAATTGCAAACAATTTTCTTCTAGAGAGTTGATCCTTTCCCAGTGAAGTTAGAAATTATAAATGCTGATGTAATACTATGTTTTATGTAACTTAGAACATTTCATTTTTAAAATTAACATTGGTTTACAACAATGTATATGATTCAGAGGTATAGTTCACACCACATCAGATATATGTTATCATGGCACACCCACCACCAAAAACATGCAAACACCATAGTCCATTGGATCTCTGTCCCCCCCTTACTCTCCACCTTCTGCCTCCCTTTCTGGTAGCCTTAATTTTACAGTCAATTTTCTAGAGTATGTTGGGGTTTGGTTCACCCTTTGTTTTATTTCTCTACATTCCACCTATCTGCTATTTGTCTTCTCTTTTATTTCCCCTTAGCATAATCCCCTCCAGTCCCATCCATATTGCATTGAAAATGGCAAAATTTTACCTTGTTTTTTCCCCAAGGAAATCATTTTTTATTTTAAATATTCTTTTTTTTAATATTTTATTTTATATAATTTTTACATCATTTTTCATTTTTGCACAATGTGTGCATTTTCATTTTGGTATATTCCCCATACAATTGTCCCTCCCCCTTATTTTGACACTAATCCTTCCACCCCTCACCACCACCCCCGTAGTGTGTCTCTGGTTTATAGTGGCTTGTTGATTTTGATTTTTACTTTGTATGGATTAGTCTTTTTCATGGTCCCTTATTTAGGTTTTCTAGATTCCTGCTATGAGTGAGACCATCTGGTATTTTTCTTTTTCTTTCTGGCTTATTTCACTGAGCATGATCCCTTCCAGTTCCATCCATGTTGCTGCAAATGGCATGAGTTTATCTTTTTTGATTGCTGAGTAATATTCCATTGTGTATATGTACATCTTCTTGATCCAGTCATCTATTTTTGGGTATTTGGGTTGTTTCCATAGCTTAGCTATCGTAAATAGTGCTGCTATAAACAGCACCTGTACCCCTTTGGAATTAGTTTCTGCGTCCTTTGGGTAAATACCTAGGAGTGGAATTGCTGGATCATATGGAAGCTCTATCTTTAGTAGGTTGTGGAATCTCCACACAGCTCTCCATAGTGGTTGGACCAGTTTGCACTCCCACCAACAGTGCAGAAGAGTTCCTTTTTCTCCACAACCTCACCAACATTTGTTGTTGCTAGTTTTTTTAATATGTGCCATTCTCACTGGTGTAAGATGGTATCTCATTGTAGTTTTGATTTGCATTTCCCTGATTACAAGTGATGATGAACTTTTTTTCATATTTTTTCATTTTTTTTTTTTAATGGCTGAATAGTAGTTCATAAGCTAGTTTTATCTAGTAAGCTGTCTTTGGGCATTTAGGTGGTTTCTATAGCTTGATTGTTGTTAATAGTGCTTCAGTGAACATAGGAGTATGTATACCCTTCGAGTTAGTGTTTTTGCATTCTTCAGGTAGATACTTAGGAGTGGAATTGCTGGATCATATGGTAAATTTATTTTTAATGTTTTGCGAAACCTCCATACTATTTTCCTTAGGGACTGGAGCAGTCTATTTTGCCATCAATGGTATACAAAGGTTCATTTTTCTCCACACCCTTTCTAACACTTATGGTTTCTGACATAGACCATTTCCTTTTTTTTTTTTAAAGATTTATTTATTTATGCATATAAGAGCTGGGGCACAGGCCAGAGATGCAGGGGGTGAGAGGATTCACCAGAGACAGAGTGGGGAACAGAACAGGCAGACTGACTGAAATACACTGCTGAAGGGAGAAGCGGGCAAGTCAGGAGAGGTCTGCTGTGCCATGTGGGTTACTCCCTGGCTGGCTGGGGATCGAATTTGTGCTGCAGAGGGTGCATATTGCTTCATAGTGTAGTTCTTAACCCCTTATGCCATCAGGGAGCCCCCATAGACCATTTCTTAAAGTAAGCAGTTGAACATGATAATTTAAGGGAACTGAAATGCTGACCTTTTAGATTCTAACCTGTAAAATGCTTAACTGAAGTACTCTTCATAAACTCATTTAATAGTGCCAGTAAAGCCACATGCTTGAAATGCTTTTTATATTAACACTATAGGGTTTTCATATTTACTGTCAACTAATATATGTGTATATGCACCCATGAGAATGCTTTTTAGTGTTTAATTTTATTATATATGTCTGTGTATACATGTATGTTTGCATGTACATATACACATACTTTTTTATAATCACAGATTTCTTTTTTTTAAAAAGATTTATTTATTTATTTATACAAGGTACAGTCAGAGGTGCGGGAGGGTGAGAGAATTCACCAGAGACAAAGCGGGGAGCAGAACAGCCAGACAGACCCAAGACACTGAACAGCCAGACACACCCAAGACACCCACTGAGCAGTGGGCGAGACAGGAGAGGTTTGCTGTGCCATGTGGGCTTCTTCCTGGCCCGCCAGGAATCAAACCCACACTGCAGAGGCTTCGGACAGCTTCACAGCGCAGTGCTCAACCCACTGTGCCGCGGGGGCGGTGGGGGTGCCCTACATGTACATTTTGAATATATGTATACACATTGTTTTAATGTTCACAATTGGTGAAATGTGGATAACCTTTATAAAGAAATATATCCATTTTTTTCAACAACACCTTGAGGAAAAAGTTCTTGATATGAAATGAAATAACTAGAGTTTTAAAACATATGTGGGCCTCCCTGGTGGCACGAGGGGTTAAGACGCAACCTATGAAGGTATCCACAGCCACTGCAGCCCAAGTTCAATCCCCAGCCAGGGAGCTACTGACATGGTACAGCAGACCTCTCCTGTCTCGCCTGCTGCTCCCCTCAGCAGTGTACTTCAATCTGTCTGTTCTGTTATCTGCTCTGTGTCTGGTGAATCCTCTCATCCCCGCTCCCCCACATCTCTGGCCTGTACCCCAGTTCTTGTATGCATAAATAAATCTTTTTAAAAAAATTAAACTATATGCAATATGACCTAGTATGTAAAAATTAAAATGTACATATAAATATATATTAAAAATATTTAAAATGTTTAATTCTGTAGAGAACAAAGAGCAGATCAATATTTAAGATAAAATAGTGTTATCAAAATATAAACATGGTATAGCTGGGTGGGTTATGTGTGAATTTGAATAATTTATTTCTTATCCTTTGTTTCTTTTTCTTCTTCTCCTGCCCCAAGTCCACACTTGGCTATGTCGCTCTGCTCATAAGTACTTTCCATGTTTTAATTTATGGATGGAAACGAGCCTTTGAAGAAGAGTACTACAGATTTTATACACCACCAAACTTTGTTCTTGCTCTTGTTTTGCCCTCAGTTGTAATTCTGGGTAAGATTATTTTACTTCTTCCATGTATAAACCGAAAGCTGAAGAGAATTAAAAAAGGCTGGGAAAAAAGCCAATTTCTAGAAGAAGGGATTGGAGGAGCAGTTCCTCATCTCTCACCAGAGAGGGTTACAGTAATGTGATAATAAATGGTGCTCACTGAGGTCATATAAAGTTCTCCTCATGCCATTATTTTTATGACTTCCTCTATGTTGCATTTGCACTGTTGATATGGGTTGAAGCCTGTTCAATGAGCTCTCTACTCAATTAGCAGTAGAATTTTCTCCAAATTAATTTTCACAACTGTCACTTTGTGAATATGCAATTTTGTAATCAACTTGTTGAAATTTAGGTATGTTTTGTTTTGGAAAATTGTAACACGATTGTTGTTTGAACAAACTACCGTCCATAATCAGGCAAAAGTATCTATAACTAATAATATAGAGGTAATCTGTTAAAAAAGTAACAAACCAGCAGAACTTTAAGTTTTAACATAATTTGATGGATGTGGGATTTTTCCTGAAGCTTAAGTAATGTTTTGATTATCCAATGTTAGAAATAGAAATGTATAAATCACTTTTAAGAAGGGATACATTACGTTAGCATCTAGGTAATGATATACATTCTTATATTTTTCTCGTAAGATAGAATTTGAAGAAAGTAATTAATTGTCTGAGCCAATGCGAATATATGAGTAACCACAAGTTAAAAAGACAAATTGAACCTGAAATTATATTTAAAATATATATACTAATAATAATTACAAAGATTTTATTCTTGTTACAGAGCAGTTTCATTGCATGTTAATTATTGCAAATTAATAATTTGCAATTAAATTAGCAAATCAATCAAGAAAGGCAGTACTATTTGACCTACAGAACTGACTTTTCTAATATAGTACCAATCCCGAGTATCTTTTCATTGTTCTAGTTAGAGGGAAAGTGTTAAGTTTACATACAAATAGTTGTTTGTCAATTAATCTATGTTGCTGCACCTTAGCCTTGTCAGCACTCTGCTGTAGGATTTTCCTGATACTCATAGATGGCAACAGGCCAGGGACTGTTCTAAGTACTTTACTTGTATTATCCCATTTAATACTTATATTAATCCAGTGACAGAGGTGGTAGTTATCTTTTTTTTCCCTTATCCAAAAGGGTAGATTTATTATATTAAAAATGGAAGATGGGCCTCTCTGGTGGTGCAGGCGGTTGAGCACAGCGCTGTGAAGCTGTCTGCAGCCTTTGCAGTGTGGGTTCCATCCTGGCCGGCCGCAGAGATACCCACATGGCGCAGCAGACCTCTCCTGTCTCACCTGCTGCTCCCCTCAGCAGTATATTTCAGTCAGTGTGCTGGTTCTGTTCCCTGCTCTGTCTCTGGTGAATCCTCTCACCCTCCTGCACATCTGGCCTGTACCCTGGTTCTTGTATAAATAAATAAATCTTTATTTTTTTTAAAAAAAAGAAGCTACACCAACAATAAAAAATAAGTAAAAAGGGAAAGGAAAGAAAAGGACAGGACACTTGCACAGACACAAGCAGGCAGTAAGAGCCTGAAAAGGACAGGTTTGTTAGGGAAAGGAGAAAGAAAAATAGGCTTCTGCAGAGTCACAGGCAGACAGGAGAGTTGCCTATCCTTATTTTCTTCTTTAAATATTTATGTATGCATACAAGAACTGGGGTACAGGCCATAGGTGTGGGGGTGAGAGGATTCACCAGAGACAGAGCAGGGAACAGAACAGGCAGATCGACTGAAATACGCTGCTGAGGGGAGCCGCGGGCAAGTCAGGAGAAGTCTGCTGCGCCATGTGGGTAGCTCCCTGGCCCGGGATTGAACTCATGCTGCAGTGGCTGCAGATAGTTCACAGGTTGCTTCTTAGCCTCTTGTGCCACCAGGGAGGCCCTGCCTATGCTTATTTTATGAGAAAACTGAAGGCCAGAAAAGTTAAGTAATTTGAACAAGGTCACACAGTAAGTGAAAAAGCCAGAATTCAAGTCCAGGCAGTCATCAGAGGCTACAGTTTTAATCACTGGACCCTGCTTCATCCCCATGCTTAGGTCCAGGAAGACACATCGAGATGCATCCTCCTCTATAAAAAGGCATTGACTTAAGAGTGGGTAGTGGGCATCAAAAGATATGTGAACACATTGCAATATAAACATCTTATTGCTCAGCAGCTAATCCTTAATTACCTTGGGGGAGAATCTTGCCTGGGACATGACCCCAGAAACCCATGGTAGGCCATAGGTCTCCATGTACAATGAGTAGTTTTAATAAATTGCTGAGGTTCTGTAGAATCTTTAAAAGTCCCTGTACAGTTGGTCTTGGCCTTTTTTCTTCCTGAAAAGTTCTGCTGTCTGCTCAACCATTCATTAGGAAACAATTTGCAAGCACAGAGAATATTAGGATAAGTGGTTAATTATAACCTACTCTGGAGACATATAATCATACAAATTATTCTTAAAATTTTTCAGTGCTGACATTCCACATTAATATTGCATTATGCTCAAACTTTGGTTAGCATACCTTACAACTTTCTTTCCATTTGCTCTTTCCTTATTAAAAAATAAAGTTGGAGACAAGATACAATATTATGTATTTCTCTTCCTGATATTATAACATTTTTAAATTTGCTCAATGAGGTACTACTGAATCCAGCTGCAAAAATAAAAGGACTTTTATTTAGTGGAGACCAACTTTCCCACCAATGTTTCTTACTCTGCCTTTGCGTTGTGTCACTTTGGTAAATCACACATGATTCTCTGATATTGTTATGTTGATGGATTTTAATATCTTACACTTCAAAGTTGAGCACTCCTTTTATTCATTTTAATTATATTCTCTTAGTAATCATTTGTCAGTTTTTACTAGGAATTCCATTAGGTGATAAGTTTAAAGGTAAACACCTATAAACTACTGTAGGGGACTAGTGAACTAGTGAACTAACAGCGTATTTCCAATGCTTTCTTATTCCTTATTCTCTTAAGAATATGCTTTCAACATTTAATGTGAAAATACAGTGAAATATTTTTTAAAAATTAGATGACTATTGAAGTATATTGTTGCATGCATATATTAAGTATCCAATAATACATATAAAATTATTATTACAGATAAATGGGCTCTTTGAAAATATGCAAAGAGTTTATGAAAATGTATGAAAGACATAACTTGTTTCAAATGGTAATACCTTCTTTTCCATGTTACAAAAATGAAGCAGTTTTGAAGTTTTAGATTAAATGTAATTTACCCATTATAATTCTAAATGTTTAAAAGCTTTTTGACAAACGCAAAATTTTTAGAAATTGCTTTACTTATTGACTTTAAATTCCTACCTGATTATTTTTCTTATTCATTATTTTTCAAAATCTTTTTTTTAAGTCATTATTTTGGCCTAAAACGACTGAATTCTGCTCCTGCTATATGTGGAAATGTTGGAACATTCAAATAGCAGGAATTTGTTAGCTGATCTGTACTGGAGAAGTACCCCTGCGAAAATTATAAGAATGTAAAAATTATACCCAGTCTAATCCTATGCAAAAAAACAAGTAATTTCTCCTAAGAGGAAAATAACCATGGATTAAACCATGCTTCTCAGCTTTTGTGTACAGATTTTGTCTCCTGTATTAAGAATATTTAAATTCATGTTTAAATAAGAATATATTCATGCTGACATATATTTTTCAGAACATATATGGAAATTTAGCCCAGACTGTCTACATGTAGAGATTTTTATTTAGATTTAAAAATATTTTAAAGTATGAATAAATTATATTTATAGGTATTTATTGGAGATAATTATTTTGTTCTACATACAGGATTGGCTAATAAGCTCCAGTGTTGAGCTGATTAATTTCTTATAAATTAGCATAATCTTGACTTGATTAAGGAACTTTACTTTCAGTGTTAATTTGATAATAGTAAACTGAAGCTATATTTATATTTACACTACAGTCAAATTACAAAAATTATTTGTGTAAAAAGGGCTTCAAGAATATATCATATCCAATTTTTGTAGTTTATTTCATGTAATATGATAAAACCTTAATTTTTTTAATTGTCTTTTGCCATTAAGTTATTTCATAAAAATTCTGTACAGTGTTTTCCCCCAAAAGAGAGGCTTGTGAAATTTAAGGTTTCTTACATGATTTTTTAAATAGGTGTCAAAAACGTAATTCATCAGTATTTCGTCAGGAATATTATGAACACTGAACCTGTGCCAGCCTATAAAATGTTTTGAAGTATTTAAACAGCCTAAAATGTCATGTTGAATTTATTTTGTAAATTCATTACTTAAACCAGTGTTACACTTAGTTTGGCCCAACGCAGTCCAATGTTAAGAATCATATTTGTGATACTGTCTTGAAAACAAGATGTTCCACACTCAATTGTGCATAAGTTAGTAAAACAAATTGTTCATAAGTCAGCATATATTCATTTCAGTATGGAAACACAATTTATTCATACCTTTAAACAGTGAATTTTACAGGATGATAGTTTCTTCAATTTTTTTTTAATGTGAGAAAATTACAAAGTTTTTGCTGTTCAGATTCTGTACATATGATATGTTCATTTCAACTTAACGCACATACATACTGATTTTTTTTTTTTAACTTTACAAGTCATTGGATTTCCATTGTGTAATCATCCAAAATTAGGGCAAGCTACATGGATTCATCATCCAGTAGCTGCATGTGCAAAATTAAATCCAAATCAGGTACTTTATTTGATTTCCAAATTGTCCGCTTCAAAAAGGTATTCTTTCAAGATTTTTATTAAGGGTTCTTCACAGCTTTCCAGATATCCAGTCTGAACAGGTACTGAAAGTTGTCTACTAATGTCTATTTACTCTGCTTTAAAAGCTGCCACCCATCACATTCCTCAGCTGTCCTTGAAGTTAGGTGTATCCAGGAGACTAAGTTTCTGCTGGTGAAATGTACAGGGACTGGGATATAAGTGTGACTTGGTACAAGTCTCTTCAAAGGAAAGCAGTGGCTATTCATTATCTTATTCCTCCATCTTGCTGCCAGGATGTGCATATGATACTAGGAGTCCTGGCAACTCTGTAAGGCCAAGAGAGGACCAAAGTCACATCCTACTGGAGGAAGGCTAGAGACTGAAAAAATCTTAAGTAGTTTACTACTTCGACTGCCCTTTCCTGTATGCAAGCCACTGTAAATTTGAGTTTTCCTGTATAAAGTCGTAACTATTCATGTCTGGCCTTCAGTTCTTTGTCATGATGCTATTTAACACTGTTTGAATAAACTAAATTGCAATAATTCTTACTTTTAAAAGCTTTTAAAGGATTATGTGCAATTCACATTAGAATTGATTTTTCCATTGTTAATTTATACTCATTTTCTCTTGCTTTGATATTTCATTAAAACTTTTGTATGTGCTTAGAAAATACTGTCTTCTTTATAACTGTGTAATTGATATTTGTTAAAATTCTGTAATCTCCAAAATATAGCTATCGAATTACATACCATGTTTTTACATCATTCTCATAGATTTGCCTTATAAACATCTAAATAAAAAGTACTATTTAATATGTTTTGTCTTTTGAATTGTATGCAAATGGATTTTTCTTCCTTACTTTAATTCATTTAAGATAGAGGTCATCCAATACTTTTTCTGACTTTTTCTCCTTTTTTCTTTCTCTTTTATATTCCGAAAGTAGGACATGTAATAATTTGGGGTTGGGAGGGATCATTTATTTGTTTTACCAGCAGTCGTTTAGAATAATCTCCATTTAGTGAGTCGGTGTCCTTAAAATTATTTCATTTCACTAGCATTCATTGTCTTTAAGCCATAATTCAATACAATATTCAAGCTCTAGTAGATGCGTGATGTGCATGGGGCATTAGTTCCAGTCCTTCCAAGATTGGTTAGATCTGTGGATGCAGAACCCCAATAGAGAGAGCCTACTGTACATTCTGTAAGCACTCTGAGAACAGGAACTCTGTCTTATTCACTAGTGTATTCCCAGTCTCAAGAAAAGTATCATATTACAAATAATGATGAGATATTTTAAAGGATTTTTTTTTTTTTAATAGAGGCATGCTTTATTTATTTGTTTGCTGGCTTGTTTGTTTTGTTTATACATGCACTGGGTACAGTCAGAAGCACGGGAGGGTGAGAGAATTCACCAGAGCCGAGCGGAGAGCAGAGCAGGCAGAAGGACCGAAGTATACTGCTGAGGGGAGCAGCGGGCGGCAGGAGAGGTCTGCACGCCATGTGGGACCCTCCTCTGGTGGCCGGGGAGCAGCTGGGGATCGAACCGGCGCCGCAGAGGCCGCAGGCAGCTTCGCAACCCAGCGCTCAACCGCTGCGCCACCGGGGAGGCCCTAAAGGATTTTTTTTTAACAGAAAATTATTTATTACCCGTGTCCATGCAGCCATGTGTATATCTTTCTGCCCACACCCCTTCCTTCTTTACTGTCATCTTTGGTGTTAAAGTTGATGTCTAAAGGGTTGAGGAGTCTAAAATTGAAGTCCTGTTGTGCAAGAAAAAGGAAAGGAGACTGTCAAGTATACCACCCATTATTGCAATGAAGGAGTGTTATGTGTTAGAAATTATACTGTAGATAAATCATTCCTGAGAGTGTAACAAATGTTTGTCTTGTCAAGTCAGACAAAACCATGCAATCAACTTGCACAATGGCAGGTACATGATGAACACCGAAACACAGACCAACCCGACAGGGTGGCTGCCTCATGGTGTTTGTTTATTAAATATACTTAATCTTGCTGGACACTTTACCCAAGGGAAATGTTCCTTTTATCAGCTGAATGCTACCATCATTAGTTCAGAGAAGTGACTAATTCATGTATTCAAACCATCACAGTTTCAAACAATTTTTATGTGCTAAGGATGGCAACCTTCTCATTATGTTAAACTACCAGTAAACTGAGATGATACCTGTTTTATATTCAAATGAAAAATACAGATATGTGGTGATCCCAGAGGAAGTCACACTATTGCAGCTACCACTGCCAGCACATTGCTACAGTGAGGTGGAAAAGTCAACCTCCTGCTGTGCAGAGCTTCTGTGGGTGCTCTGGCTTCACCCACAGCTGCCCCAGAAGGGCTTGGGTCCTAAGAGTGGGATGCCAGATCGAATACAGGACAGTCAATTCTTTTAAATTGCAGACAAAAAATAACTTCTGTAAGTCTATTACAAATATTGCATGTAACTTTTTTTTTTAGCTATTTTTGGGAATCCTCCTTAGCCATGAACTTTGGGCAAGGAAATGCAGTACAAGAGGGAGCTGGTAGATAAATTCTCCTTTCCCTCTCCCCAGATGGCCTGTTCCCAAGTGTGGTCATTCATAAGGCTCCCATGAAGATAATACTAAAAGATCGAGTAATTATTCCAAAACTGACCAGTGTAATGATACCAATATGGTGTCCCTCCTCCACTACCTGCATCATTTCCATCTTTTCCTCACTGTTTCCCAGAGATAGCAACCCCTCCCCCGGCCCCCCAAAATAGCAACAGGTGAATATGTCAGGCTCTAAGGAACCTAGGCTACCCCAGTGCTTTTGGTAGATTCTTCAAATAGAAAATGAAACATGAAATACTGATTTTGACAAAGTCAGGCGCAGGGTCTTGAAGACTCAATCCAGATAGCTTGAGACCCTGAGAGTAAATACATCTCTCAGGAACAGATTCACATTAATCAAATGTACAGTGATAGCATGTTAAATCAGAACAGTGACATCACTACTGTGAGAAATATCAATATTCTAAAGAATACCAGTATTGCCTTAACTAAGCATATTCTTTTCTTGAAATTGTCATTTTTTAAAAAATTTTTACTTATGTACATTGTTGTTTTTTTTTTTTTAAAGATTTATTTATCTTTATTTTTATTTATACAAGCACTGGGTACAGTCAGAAGTGCGTAAGGGTGAGAGAATTCACCAGAGCCAGAGTGGGGAGCAGAGCAGGCAGAAGGACCAAAGCACACTGCTGAGGGGAGCAGCGGGCAGCGAGAGAGGTCTGCACGCCATGTGGGACCCTCCTCCGGTAGCCGGGGAGCAGCCGGGGATCGAACCAGCGCTGCGGAGGCTGTGGGCAGCTTCGCAACCCAGCGCTCAACCGCTGCGCCACCGGGGAGGCCCCTGTTTTGTTTTTTTTTTAAAGCTGATCTACTGCTTTATTTTTGAAAAGATTTATTTATGCACAGAAAACTGAGGTGTATGCCAGATGTGCAGGGGTTGAGAGGATTCACTAGGGACAGAGTGGGGAGCAGAACAGGTGGACCTACTGAAATACGCTGCTGAGGGGAGCAGTGGGCAAGACAGGAGAGGTCTGCTGCACCATGTGGGTCAGCTCCCTGGCAGGGTTGGAACTCAGGCCTTGCCACTGCAGGGACAGTGCTGAGACTTTACCCCTATGCCAACAGGGAGGCCTGAATTTGTTCTTTTTAAGAAGTAAAATTACAACCCAAAGGCTGCTGGGGCCTGCTATGGGCTGAATTGTAGCCTCCTAAAATTCATATGTTGAAGTCAACCCCCAGTAAGTCAGAGTGGCCGTATTTGCAGACAGAGCCTTTTAAGAGATAATTAAGGCAAAATGAGGTGGTATTATGGGCCATAATCCAATATGACTGATGTCCTTATAAGAAGAGGAAATTAAGACATGGAGGGAAGACCAAGTGATGACAAAAAAATGACCAGAGAGGCCTACAAACCAGAGAGGCCTCAGAATAAAACCAATCTTGGACACCTTGATGTGGGGCTCCAGAATATGAGGAAATAAAATTTGATTGCCTAAGCAAGCCAGTCTATGTTATTTGCCCCAGCAGACCTAGTAAACTAATGCAGGTTTTATGAAATTAGAACAAGTCAAGTTATGTAATCTGAATAATTAATGTCAATGTAATAAACTTATCTGATACATCTTAGACCACCATAAGGACAGTTCTAGCCTAGCAGTCTTCACTGTAGCCTCCAGCCATGTAAACACAATGATTAGGTTTTAGTTCTAAAAGCTGGAAAACATTTTCATTTCCTGGAAATTTTCCCATGTTATGAAGCTGAATTTTTCATGAGTTAAAAGTTACCATTTGTAAGTTCATTTTATTTACTACTATTTAGTTTCTCCACAAAATATGAATACCTTCTCCATCTTCCTATGTGAAAGTCGCTTGCTATTTGGATTACTTATATACTTTTTATTAGAATAACTGACTTTGGGGTGGCTGTACTTTGTTTTTTTGTGCCCTATACTTATTTCTTCCAAATTTGCATTAATGATTGTGTTGGAAAGATATAGTTTATGTTTCTTTTTAGGCTTTGTTTCTATAACAATTAACTTGAAATTTTTTTTTTAAAGCATAAAGTAGATTACATTCCAACTTTATATGTATTTCTTCTATTACCTAATTCCCCTAAAGCTAACCTACTCATTAAATTTTATATGTGCTATAAAAATTCTCTTGTTTAAAATAAATTATTCTGATGTGGAAAAGAATAACATTTGCTTGAACATTCAGAACATTCAGCATTAGTTTCAAGATTACCAAATTCATACATATACTTATTAGAAACATTCTTATGTATGCTAATGAATAATTAATATTTAACTACTAATTAGGCAGAGTGCAAAAATATATCAGAAAAAAATCAGAAGAATAATATTAAATATTATATTCATGTTAAGGATATAGTCAGCTTTGTTACATTAGCTCTGTTACATTTGAAAGTAAAAAATGTACATAGCTTAATCTTTAAAGGCACAAGTCCTTCTAAGAAATTATAATTTGGGGGCCTCCCTGGTGGTTCAAGGGGTTAAGCACCACGCTGTGAAGCAATCCACAGCCTCTGCAGCACTAGTTCGACCCCGGCCTGCCAGGGAACAACCCACATGGCGAGGCAGACCTCTCCTGTCTCGCCCACTGCTCCCCTCAGCAGTGTTTCAGTTAGTCTACCTGTTCTGTTCCTCGCTCAGTCTCTGGTGAATCCTCTCACCCACCCGCAACTCTGGCCTGTACCCCAGCTCTTGTATGCATAAATAAATAAATCTTTAAAAAAATAAATTACAATTTGTGGGCCTCCCTGGTGGCGCATGACCCACATGGCGCAATCTTTTCCGCCCCCACCCACCCTTGGCCTGCACCCCAGCTCTGATATGCATAAATAAATAAATCTTTAAAAAAAAGTTACAATTTGTGACTATAAAGAAATGGTAAATTCTACAAAATTGTTAACAGATTGAAGCATTTCTATTCTACGTGTAACTTGTTTCTCATATATTTCTCCACAATTAATTTATCTTTTTGTTGATATAATTTATCATTTCAACAGTTATTTTACCTTTACGTCCTCCTATTCTTTTGTGTCATGAAAATGTCTCCTATGCTCTTAACAGAGTCTTCAAAAAGCTATACTAAGGAAGGTTCAATGAATAGTAATAAGTTTAAATCCAATACCTAATTTTAACAGTTAAAATTTTTTTTTTTAATTTTTGCGTAGAAGAACTGGGGTGTAGACCAGAGATGCGAGGGGTTAGAGGATTCACCAGAGACAGAATGAGGAGCAGGATAGGCAGAATTACTGAAATACACTGCTGAGGAGAGCAGTGGGCGAGACAGAAGAGGTCTGCTACGGCATCCCTGGCTAGGATAGAACTCAGGCCAGTTTGCAGGGATAGAGCTAAGACTTAAACGCCAGGCCACCAGAGAGGACCCTAAACAGTTAAAGCTTTTAAGAGCCTAAACTGGCTGTGCTTACCAAGAAGAAAAATGAATAAATTCACTTAATTTTATCATCTTCGAGGAAACAAAAGATACAGAAATTTAACAAATGGAATACTTAGTGAAAGACAGCTTTATGGAAATTGTTAATACTAAAAAAAAAAAAAAACAACCTAGTGAAAATATACACACTAGAGCAGTGCTTTTCAAATTTTAATGTGCATATTAGTCACATGGAGATTCTAATTAAGTAGGTCCTCCGTCGTGGCCTGAGAATTTGCATTCCTCATTTCTACCTATGTTGTAGTCAAGGACCCCATATGGAGAAGCTTGAACTTAGCATTTATCTTACTTTGGGTAAACTTCTGAGATGCTTTAATTTGGCCTCAAATCAAATAAGTAATTTATAATCTTTGAAATTTCAATGACTATTTATTGAGAATCTGGTATGATTTAGACCAGCAGGTCCTAAAGTCTAGTCACCATCAACTTCACCTGGGAACATGCTATACCTGCAAACCCTTGGACACCACCCAGACTTACTGAAGTTTGCTCTGGAGGTGGGGTTCAGGACATTGTTTTAACCTCTTCTCTAGATGATTTTGATGCACACTAAGTTTTGAGAACCACTGCTTTAGACACTGAGGGCTAGTTTTCAAAAATCAAAGTCCAGTAGGATGACTTTGAGCTGCTTAGCCAGTAATACATTCAACATGTGTGGCACAAAAACAGAAGGACGAACAAGATGGCAAACAAAAGGACACACGGCAGAGGATGTAGCGAAGACTTCCTAGAAAAGGTCATGAGCTGAATTTCTTTTTTCTTTTTTTTTTTAAAGATTTATTTATTTATTTATACAAGCACTGGGTACAGTCAGAAGTGCGGGAGGGTGAGAGAATTCACCAGAGCCACAGCAGGGAGCAGAGCAGGCAGAAGGACCGAAGTACACTGCTGAGGGGAGCAGTGGGCGGCAGGAGAGGTCTGCGTGCCATGTGGGACCCTCCTCCGGTGGTCGGGATGCAGCTGGGAATCGAACCAGCGCTGCAGAGGCTGCGGGCAGCTTCACAATCCAGCGCTCAACCACTGCGCCACCGGGGAGGCCCATGAGCTGAATTTCATTGGGAGTTAGATATGTAAAGACAATCAAAGTACAACATAGGCAAATGTAGCAAAGGAGGGAGTTGACAACTTCTTAAAACTGCAGGAATTTCACTCAAAATGGTTTGAGGACTTCCATTCTGGTCACCTCTTACCTGTCAAAAAATAAAACACCATTTGAGCTAAAAACAAATAACAATAACAAAAACCACTACAAAGTTGGATCTATTAACTTGCCAAGTAAAGGAAGCTATTCTATGAAGAATTTCACCCAGAAGGAAAAATTCAAGGATTTTTAAGTGCTTAAAAAAAAAAAGGATGGGAGTTCGTGGGAGAGTTGGCTATTGAACACTGAAAAAACTAGTACTCTGTATATAAGACAAAATGAATATATAGATCTGTTCACAATCAAGTAAAATAATTTAGAAATCCCAATTTTCATTGTTCTGGAAAATATCTTTAGTTAAGTCCAATGAAGGCCTCCCCGGTGGCGCAGCGGTTGAGCGCTGGGCTGCGAAGCTGCCCGCAGCCTCTGCAGCGCTGGTTCTACCCCCGGCCGCCAGCAAGGGTCCCACATGGCGCGACAGACCTCTCCTGCCGTACCTGCTGCTCCCCTCAGCAATGTACTTCGTCAGACTGCCTGTTCTGCTCCCCACTTTGGCTCTGGTGAATTCTCTCACACACACACCTCCTCTCCCCTGTGCTTCTGACTGTACCCAGTGCTTGTATAAATAAATATATAAATCTTTAAAAAAAAAAAAAAAAAAGAAAAGAGTCTGTCTTTCCAGGGTCACAGAAGTTTATGAACACTTACCAGCTTCTGTTGCTGAAACACCAAAGTAAGTCAGTTGTCATCCACCAGGTAAGCTCTGTTTCAAGTGGAAAATTTTCTCTGGCAACCCTACATCTTTGTCTTCCACTGTTCTGAGTTCCTAGGATAAGCACACAAAGGGTAAGAAAATCATTTGCTTGTCAGCTCTCTGCCACTGTCTTGTTTTCAAGTGCCATTTCCATAGGATTGCATGTATTTATCCAAATGATTTCAGTCTCCTTTTGATGTAATATATAGGAATGTGTAACAGCAATTAAAGTCCTACTGGTAATACATTTAACTCGCCTTCTGCATCCTCCCTGTGTGATAGCAAACTCAGACCCAGTGAACCCACCTCTGAGTAAGGTCTGACAGCACCTCTAAAAACATCAATGTGTAGCTGAAAAGGTAAAGAAAATAAAAGAATGCTAAAGTTCAAGCAAGAGAGTTTTCAAGAAGGGGAGAGTGTGGTCAAGTGTGTAAAATACTACAGGCAAGTACAGAAGACGATGTCAGGAAAGTGCCCACAGATTATGACCACAAGTGTTGCTACCTGAGTCAGAGCAGTTTCAGAGAATGAGGAAGAGGATAGTGGAAGAATGAGTAGATTTCTGAGAGGAGAGGACTGGAATTTACTTGAAGGTCCAAAAACATCATTTAGTGTTTGTACTAGTTAAGGCAACAAGCTCACTGATTAATCTGCTCATTCTACAAATGGGGAGAGAAACACTGAGCAGTGAAATTAAATTTATTTTCATGGCATTTGTATAATTTCTAAATCATAAATTTTAGAAGATAGAAAAGCTCACATGTTAATCTTGACGAGTTTGGGAGGCTTGAAAAAAGACTTAAAAGATTTTAAAATCAGTTTTCAAAGCCTTCAACTTAAGTGATTAAGTTACACTGGTGATTATGAAAGCTTTCCATTACAGTCCTGTCTCTTCTCGTAGTATTACTCAGTATAATACAGTAATAGTAAAGATAATGACAATCTTAAACATTTACTAGGTTTGCATTATGTGCCAAGCACCACTTTATAAAATTATCTCATTCAGTCTTTTCACAACAATACTACTTCGCAGATGTGAAAAGTGGGACTCTAACAGTTAAACAACTCTATCCAGTGATTTGATTAAAGAGCCTTCTAAAGTCATGTGCAAAGCATGTTTATTTCACTGTTCGTTAGGGCCATTAAAATACAGAAGAGGAATGTAGGTGACCACTGTTACTGCGTTAGGGTAAAAAAACTCGCTCTGTTTCCAGTATTATCAGTCCATCATTCATCCCTCACCCTTCCACCCCGTGCCTCAGGCGGTTGAGCCCCGCACTGTGAAGCTGTCCTGGCCTCTGTAACGCGGGTTCGATCCCGGCTGGCCAAAGAGACTCCCACATGGCGCGCAGACCTCTCCTGTCTCACCCGCTGCTCCCCTCAGCAGTGTATTTTGTCAGTCTGCCTGTTCTGTTCCCCACTCTGTCTCTGGTGAATCCTCTCACCCTCCACACCTCTGGCCTGTCCCCCAGCTCTTGTATGCATAAATAAATAAATCTTAAAAAAAAAAAAAAAGGAGACCCAGCGCAAACCACCAAGGCTAAGGTAACCTAAAGTTAACCCTCCCGACTACCTACCGAGGTCTTCCAGAGCGCAAGCACACCCACCATTCCCAGCGTCAGAGGAGCGGAACCGGTGTGGGCGTAGTTTGGCCTCCAGGGCTTCCGTAGGAGCCGGCTCCCGGCCCCGCCCCTAGCAACGCGCGGGCTGTGTTGACAACCCGACGGCCCGCGCGCACCTGAGGCGGTGGGTGGGCTGGGGCTGCGCGATGAGGGCCGTGTCGTGGTGGCCGAGGCCACAGTCAGACCCCCGGGGCTTCCCTCGACTCTAGCGGCTCTCGGGCGACCTGCCCTTCCCGGCGGACGGGTCTCCGGGCCCCGAGATTACGGGCATCGTGTAGGACAGGAGGACCCGCATCCCTCACGCGGCCACCTCAGCCATGTCAGCAGCAGCAGCAGAGGCCGCGGAGACGGCCGAGGCCCAGGAACAGGGCAGCAGGAACAAATCCGGCAGCCCTCGCCAAATCCCAGTGGTCGGAGTGGGGACGGAAGGCGAAGAGGCGCAGGTACCGGGCGGCGTCTGCGCTTCGGAGCGGCGGGCTTGAGGAGGAGCGGGGCTTGGGGAGTGCCGGGAAGGGTGCGATCTGGAGGCGGGGACAAGGCTTGGGGGCGACTGAGGTGGAATTGGGGTCCGATTGGAATCCAGGGTAGCTCGCGGGACAGCCGTTCCCAGCGCAAGCTGGTTCCCTAGAGAACCGCGCCGCCTGCGAGGGGGTTGACTGTCGTCACCCACCTGTCTGGGGAATCGCGCCGCGTCGTCCTCCCGGAGTTCCCCACTAAACTGAGTAGGCGAGGGTTGCTGCAGCTCCAAGGAAGGTGTCACCACAGAGGGCCTGGGAGGAAGGAGTCGTAATTAGCGAAAACAAGGATTTGATGACCAGTTTGCCTGCACTGAGCTTTCCCATGGAGATCCCCATTCTCGAGTGATGTTCTTGATATAAACGTGAATTGTCTCCCATGTCCAAATTTGTTGCTACTAAAATCCGGAATTTGTTGCTACTGAAGCCTGGGAAGGAGGAAAACGCTGTTAAATTAGAAATTAAACATCTCGTTTTTATATGAAAATAGAAGCTAGTTGTGGGGCCCCGGGTGGAAGAGTTGGAGGGAATAAAACGGATTGTATTGTACTTGTGTTTGGTTTTGAGTTACTTTTGTTATGAATCCATAACTCATTCTTTCGAGTGGGTCTGTTGAGACATTCCACTTCGGAACTCTCATGTGTACGTCCATTCGTGGCGAGGGGACTTAGAAACTCCAAGTCGTTCTTGTTTCGTACTCGGGTTCTGAGGCTTCTGCCAAAGAGTAATGATCGCGCCCTAAAATGTGAACTCTACGGAGGAATCCACCCTGCCTCCCGACACTAATGGAGTGGGGCCACTCTGGGAATTTCCGTTGAGGATTCGCAAGTCTCAGGCTGCGTCAGGAACCCTGTCTCCTGCGTCCGCATCCTGAGCCCTGGAGAGTTCCCGGGGAGTGGTCAGTTGACTGGGGACCTCTTGTACTTTGGGAACAGCGTTGAGTTCTCTGAGGACTGCCAGACATTTACACAATAACCTGTGCAGCAACAACACTTATGCATGAGGAGGAGCAGGTGTTAGGGGAATTTATCTAATCGGTTTTGTGGAAGAATTCCAATCTGGGCGGGGAGAACTTTGAGGAACAGTAACTAACTCTCCACTCCTGCAAGGCTGCAAGGGCGCTCAACACGACCGCTGTTATCCCAAGCATGGCCCCTGACAAGCAGGTGAATTTGGTGTCTGATGATTCTTATTCTTTTTATACTTGATGTGTTAAAAAAAAAAAGGGGGGGGGTGAGGGGAGGGAGAGCAAGGTTATATGCGGTAGGCAAGCCTGGCTTAATAAGACAAAAGATGGGGTGGGGGACAATGTGATTATTTTAAGAGGCCATTGCCAAAACAGCCCACAATATTCTAAATGAAACAAAACAGGTATTCCTTTGTGCATATCTATCTATTTTCTCCCTTCCCCCCCCCCACTTTTTTTTTCTTTTCTTTCATTACCACCTCTCATCTGGTGTACTTTCACAGACACATCGAGCAGCTTTTTTTTTTTTAAAAAAACTAGATAGTTGGGCCCTCCCCAAGATTTGCTCAATAAGAATCCCCAGTGTGGAGCCTGGGACTCTTAGAAAACTCCTGCAAATGATTTTTAACCTTATAACTGCTGAATTAGATGATAGCCAAAGTCTATCTCTGCCATCACTATAGTGCCTCAACTTCACTTCCTGTCCTAGTTTTAAGATTTTCCGGTGTATAATCTGTACTGTATCTGTAGTGTGTGTGCTGCTCAGTACCCCTTCCATGTGGACAGAAATCTTTTTATTTGTGGCTTTTTTCCTGTAGTGTTGCCCATAATCTCCAAGTATCCCAATACCTGTATGCAGGGTACTCTAATAGTGCTCAGCACCATGCCTTCTATGCAGGGGTGATATTAAATATTTATTGAATGAATGCCCTTTCCTCTTTTCTCTCTTTTTTTAAAGATTGATTTATTTATGCATAGAAGAACTGGGGTGTAGGCTAGAAGTGATGGGGGTGGTGAGAAGATTCACCAGAGACAGAGTGGGGAGCAGAACAGGCAGACTGACTGAAATACACTGCTGAGGGGAGCAGCTGGAGAGTCAGGAGAGGTCTGCTGTGCCATGTGGGTCACCACCCTGGCCAGGAATCTAACTCGTTCTGTGGATAGTTTTATAGTGCTGTGTCTTAACCCCTTGCAGCACCAGGGAGGCCCGCTTTTCCTCTTTTCTGAATTTGAATCTTACCCTACCTTAGAACTTAAATTTTATCCAACCTATAGGATCTACTGTAGAGTACTCCTAAATAGGAAGCACATCCCATTTTTCACCCTCACAGATCTTCTCACAAGTGGGTCAAGTCCTAGGTCTGAGTTACCATTTCTCACCTAATTATCACTTATTTTATGTTGAACACTGTTTCATTTGTCTGAATTTTATTTCTTCACTAGAATATGGTTCCTTAAGTGTGGGAAATATATCTTGTCCTTCCCCTCCTCTACTTTGAACTCACAGTAAAAATTTAAGTCTTTAGGAAATAGTTTGCAGAGCTTCTGTGTTCCAGCCACACTGGCCTCTTGGCTTCTCGGTCATGTCGGGTGTGCCCCTGTCCCTTGCACTTGCTGCATCACTTCCTGGAAGTTTTCCCTCGATATCTACTGCTTGTTCCCTTACCCTTCAAAGACTTTGCTGAGATGTTACCTTCTCTGTGAATCTTTTGCTGACCACTACTGCCTACTCCTTTTTGGACAAAACATTACTATATTGTACTGACTCTGTAATTTACTATTTTTTCCTTCCCCAAAGCATATAAATTCTTTATGAAAGCAGAGTTAATTTATTTAATTTCACCCAATACCATATCTTCGGCACCCAGAACAATGCTTGACATTCAATAAATATCTGTAGGCCCTCAAAAATATTTATAGAATAAATATAAAATTGTGGTTGAATTGCATAGATATCAAGGCAGAGCTTGCTTGCTAAATTTGCTCTCCCTCTGAGAGCCTCTGGGAACCTCCACAATCTGCTAATTGATGTCACAGCCAGCCGCTATCTCATACTGCCCTGGACTGTGTGTCCTTAAAATCCTCTGCCCCTGTTTTGGAATAAAGGCTAGAGAGAACCTCGTTGGTCAGTTTAGGAGTCAGGCAGAGAAGTGTGGTGTGAGAATTAGTGTTCCTGCATCAGACAAACCTATCTGTGGGCACATTTACTAGCGATGTGACCTTAACTGGTGAGGTCTCAAGGCCCCAGTTTCTCATCGAGGTAATAATGCCACCTTTATATGAAATATTTGAGGATTTATTAAGACATAAAGTACCAGGGCCTCCCCGGTGGCGCAGCGGTTGAACACTGGGTTGAGAAGCTGCCCACAGCCTCACAGCAGCGATGGTTCGATCCCCGGCCTCAGGGCAAGGGTCCCACATGGCGCGCAGACCTCTCCTGCTGCCTGCTGCTCCCCTCAGCAGTGTACTTTGGTCCTTCTGCCTGTTCTGCTCCCTGCTCTGGCTCTGGTGAATTCTCTCACCCTCCCGCACTTCTGACTGTACCCAATGCTTGCATAAATAAATAAATAAATCTTAAAAAAAAAAAAAGATATAAAATACCAGAAACATAAAAGGAGCACAGTAAATTTTAGTTCCTATCTCTAAACTAAAGTAGCAAATGAGCAAGATTTTTCCCCTTTGAAATATCCCTTGGAAGAATTGGAACATAAGGTCATTCCTTAGCTTGAACTGGAGGTCTTCTAAGGTCTTCTAAAGTCTTCTCCTAAGCAGTTTATTAAACTTTTGATCATATGTTTTGCTAAATATTTTTATAATTGCTCCATAAACAGCTTATGAATAACAACAGCAATTATTTTTATATTTACATCTGGGTGTTCTCTTTTGCTTCTCATTTACTCAAATGCTTGTGTGATCTCATTTACTCAAATGCCTCCAATTATTATTTTAAACCTATGATGTAAAAATCTTAGCCCCAGTTTTAATTCATCTTCAAATCTCAACACAAGCCTCTTCCTCCAACTTTATCCTCTCAACAAAAGGTGGCATCACTTACATAATTTCTTAAGCCCGGGAGTCAGTCATACTCACCTTTTCCTTCTCTTTTCACCAATTCAACCTCCTTGATGTTTTTCATTCCATTCACTATTGTCTTTTGCAGTTGCTACCACCTTAGTCAAGGCCTGAAGTTACATACTGATTTCTCACCTACCTTCAGTTTGGAACTTTTCAGTAGTCTATTCAGCAGACAAAATTACCTTTTTATTCTTACATCAGGCTGAGTAAAACGTGGAAATAAACAAGGGCCATTACAATGAGAACAAACAGAGGGTATTTATTCTGAGCTTGCTTTAGAAATAGCCAGCACTATATTTGGCAGGGACTCCAAGGCACACAGGGAAGCTTAATAGTGAAAAAATAGTGAAAAAAAAAAGCTTAATAGAAAAAAAAAGCTTAACTGATATATTCTGGTTAGAGAGTGTTGCCAGGGGGAGGCTGTCTAGAAAAACAACATCCTGTTTTATTGATTTGGGAAGCATATT